TATTGCGTTTGAGATGACGGCAACACAAAACACATGCATGATAAAAGACGCATGCAATCACGCTGGCACGCTGTACTGTAGATAACAAAAGACTTCTATGCGCGTTCGACTGATAAAAACCTAGGAAAAAATGCAATCTGTCGAAAGTTAGAAAACAAAAAATGATTGCTTTGAAAGAACTTGAAACCAATTTAGATATGTGTAAGATGAACTATTCTTGCGAGTCATTTCAAAAAAGGAATCAGAAGCATTCTTTTCTGAGATTTCTCTCTCTCTTTCTTTCTTTCTTTCTCTTTCTCGATCGATGATGATGAATACGGAAAACAAATAGTTTGCTTCAAAACATAGTTTTTGTTTTCATCGTTTCGTTGTGCTTCTTTGTTTTGTTGTTCGTTCATTCGACATTCGGTCTTCAATGCTTCGTCTTGAGATCTCGTCGATCACCTTTCTTATTTATTTGTGCAGCATGTATCTGTGCATTTAAAACGACAACATCTGCTATCAGCTTCTTTTTCTTTCTCTCCTTTTTTTGCTTCGGTACGCTTCTTTCTGTGCGCTTTTTTTTTCTCTTCAAGAAAATAAGTTTTAATTTGAATAAATCGTGTATGTGGATCATATTCTGACACTTAAAAAATTACTACGGAGTCATTAGGTTAAGATCATTGTCTTTTGCTTTGGTTTCTACCGTGTATTGTTCAGCAAAGAATCAAATTCTAAAAAAATTAACAAAAAACAAAACAGAAACCGGACCAAATTTCAGGCGCACAGAAGATAGGAGAAAAAAACTCGGATAACATTTTGCAGACGCCTTTCTAAAAACCAAAAAAAAGAAACCAAACAGATTGAACCGAATGACGCAAAAGATAAGACTTCTGTGCCGATCAATATTATGTAAAAAAAATTACCGTCGAACTTTTCAATTGAATTTTCTTTTGGGTGGAAGATTCATGCTATATGCTGTCAATTGTCATCCATCATCCAAAACATTTGTTGAACAAAACACAAACAATAAATTGTCCACTTATTATATTGTAGCGACGATATGCTTGACACATGAACAGTAGTAGTTCCAGTTCGATGCGTGTAAAGCCATAGCGTCATCGTCAATTCAATAAATTCTTGATTCACTGAATCACATTGATACACAAACATTGTTGCTGTGTGCTGTTTTGCCAAATCGAACATAACGTTCGATGGCCGTAACAGCTATTAAGCATTGTTATATCACAACGTGAGCTTACCATTGTTTGTCTCTCGACTGAAAAAAATAAATCGAAGAAATGCTCAGCAAATTCGATTTTAATGCGTTCGGATGGCCATTGTTTGGGTCACACGAAAGATATATACTTCAATCTTATACTCTCTTGAGTTGACCCATACTTCACAATTGACACACGAAACAAATGACAAAAAAAATCCTTGAGAATGGCGAATGTGTTGATTTATAAGAATTATTATTGGCATTGTGTCAAAATATAAAACCGAAAACAACGATACAAATCGAACCACCGTTTCGATCACAAACAATTTATATCGATTTCCGTGTAAGGATCTTAAACGCGTGTACATTTCACAAAGCTGATTGATGAGAGTGTGCTCATCGGATTTTCCCTACTTTTTCCTGCTCTTTTTTTTGCTATTCCTGTTTTACTTTGTGCTTATGCAGATTGTCATTTTATTGATGTTTTTCGGTAAGTATGACCTTGTAAACTGACAAAAACTGGGGAAATTCCGACATTATACCAATGTTTTTGTGCACAATTTTGCTTGACATTTTGTTCGTGCGATGTACGGGGAGAAAATCTGTTTGCAATAAAATGTAATGCGGGATTTTTTTCTCTCTCTCTTCATTTTATGACGTGCAAACGGTTTGGTTCAAAGATTAAACCTCCTTTTTTCGACGCTATTTTTACTTTTTATGACACACTCTTCATAAACTATGTAAATATGGTAAGAATTTAAAGGAAAAAAAATTCTGACTTTGACTACACTTTGAATCGCATATTTTGTTTACACATAAATCAACATATTTTCTACGAAATCATACATTTTGATTATCATACAATATCTTATCGTTTATTTTTACTCAAAAAAAAGAGAGAGAAAAATGCTTCGAACGATTGTTCCAAATGCATTGTTGCCCATTTACCTGTGAGCCATGTGATACATCAATTTTCAATAAACATACTTAAATTTCCTACAGCCATTGCAAATCAACAATATCCAATATTGTTTATGAAAATGTATTGTGAGAGCTAAGCCACTAGGGTGCTTCAGATTATCGAGTTGAATACCAAATTTTTTCTGGTTAAAAATATGCGCTTAAAAATTTCATTTTTAGTTTCAGTTTTTTAATTAGTTTTTTAAAATTTCAACTTAAATGAGCATAATTAAAAAGAGCATCCCTTCGATGCGAGCAAATCACATTACAGTTTGCCACCCTAACATTTTGATCGCTTCGGTTTCACTATGAACACACACACACACACATAATGCTCTTCTCTTCTTCTTCTTTTTTCTTTTCAATAGTGTTTGTATAGTACGCGCGCACGTGCTTCCTTTCATTTCGTTTCTTACGTTTTTGAGGAGATTTGTGGAAGACGAAGCCAGGTGGTAGTTGTTTTCTACGTTAAGTTCATGTTTGGCGACTCTATTTTACGATTATATTTCGACGTAAAATGTGCATTCCTCTGACATGGTGGAAAAAAACAGAGAAAGATTGAGAGAGAAATGTTCTTTCGTCAGAACTTTCAAAACAATCATTTTTTTCAAGCACATATTATTCGAGAATATATGCATATATAATATATATATTCCAATCAATCGTTCATAAATATATGGCGCTTGATTGGTATTACAAGGGCAATGTTATGATCTGTGGTTTGTTTTAACGATGTTTTATAACAGTATTCGTGTTTTTTTAAAGTAGCATGCTTACAATTTACTTTTGCAAGACGACACCAAATGTGCGCGCTTAAGATTTATGCATTTCCCTGTTGGCTCACGTTCATCGAGCATTCGTCATTAGTTATGCAGAGGGAAACAACATTTCATAACTTTCTACCGGTTTTTTGTCACTTCATTTTTTTCTCGATAATCAGACAAAAAAAGTGAGGGTGACTTTTATTCCAACGGAAAAACTAGTTTTTTTATAGAAAATCTTTTTTTTTACTAATTGAGATTTAAAACCGTATCGCTAACGAATGTGTCAACTAATGATCGAAAATTCAAACTTGGGATAAAATGAAAATTTTAACGACAATATTTTATTTTCAGCGTTTCGACTGTTTTAAATGAAAAGCAAACGTATCTTTCAGCATTGAAAGAATAAGGCCAATTTTGATAAAAACTCATCAAATCAATTTCATCCCAAAAGTCGCACTTGCAGTTGAAAAACAGGCAGAAAATCGATGATTTTGATGCACTTCCTATGTGCTGCACATGTTTGAAGTATTAAATTTCTCTAAGTTGTTAGACAAACAGGAAAGAAATTTCACGGAAGAAAACGAATATCAGTTGAAGATCAAATCTCAATCAGAGGGGTGTACACTCGAAAAATGCTCCGATGAGAATTGCATTTCTTGCTACATTTTTGTGCTCGAATAAATATGTTTTTTGCGACATCCGGCCTTCAAAACTCGGTTCAATTCATACATTTTATGTAAATAAATCTAAAATGCGTGTCTGGAGAAAAGACTGTGGATCTTTTTTTCCTTTTGTGTTTAATGTAAAACCACAAACAGTGAAAAATATGAAAAAAAATGAAAAAAGAAGAAGGTACGAAATGAAGAATATGCAAAAATTGATTTGAATAGCGATTTTGTGTATCCTTGGCCTTTATATTCAGTATAAGAATATTCAACCCGAAAAAATATTCTAATTTCATTTAATTTCATATTCTTCCGGTTGCGTGTGAAATTGCATTCGAGTTTTAGTCAAAAGAATAAAAAAGAGAACGAAGAAGGAAAGACAGAAAGGATAAACACCAAAATAGCCATTCATTGATTGCTTGAAGGTATAAGGCTCACTGGTCTATATTTGCCTACATTTAACTTTGATTGAAAGAAAATATAGCATCGAAATCTGGATATTGAATAAATTAACGAAAACAAAAACTACTTCATATGTAAAAAAACGTTTTCTTTTTTTAAATTAAATTAAATTACAGATTCCTAAATTAATTAGAACTAAGAAAAACAAAAGAGACATTCAACTAGCGCAAATTCATTAAAACAACTTGAATTGCGATACAGAAACAAGTCGATATAAAGACACTAACGCGTGAATGAAGACAAACCATTATTTTGGTAAAAATATATACACGAAATAAAAGAGAGAGAGAAAAAAACACATACAAAACAGCATACAGCTGGCAGATGCTCGTCGACCGAGCACATTTTCCATGCTTCGTCAAACGCTTGCAAACCGTCTCTCTCTCTCTCTCTCTCTCACTCTCCATTCCTTTCGAACGAACGATATATACGACTTGCCTATAAAAATGTCAGTATGCGTATCGACGTGAGTAAATGTGTAAAATGAATTGAGCATATCGGTTTCCCCTTCGAGTCAAGAGACAACAACAAAATGTATGCATCAGAAGCACGTTGTAGTCGTACGGTTCGATTCGAATGTGTTCCACAATTCATTGTAAAATGTAGCAAACTAAGATATTTGAGAGAGTAACGCTGTGGAATTTGTGAAGTAAAAGAGAGAAAAAGAGAGCACGCTGAACGGCACACCAAGTACTGCGTTTCGTCAAGAATGAGGATCGTCTTTTGTGCAATGGTTGAGCGTGCATAGGTGCCGGTGAGCAAGAGAGAGCGGACCGTTTTATTTTATTCGTTCATAAATGCTGCGTATGCCAATGCATGGGTCTCTTCACACAGTTATACTAACACATGAGAGGGGATACGATCGTCTGTGTGCATCGCTTGAGTTCGATTGTTCGTTTGTATTGAGGCGCTCTCCGATCGGCTGTATTATTGTTGTTGTATGCACACAGCACTAAGGTATGTACGAAGCGCGACGGCGATTCTTACTTTAGTTCTATTTCATGTGTCCGCGCTTCATGTTGTATATCCGTTTGACGAAGGGTGATTATTCTGCGTCTGAAAAAAAATCATATAGCATAACCAACGAACGTAAAAAAGTAACGACCATCTAGTAACGACGACAACAAGAACGACACACCGCAGAAAAATAGAATAGCTGACATTGACAAGAATTTCAATTGGAATACATTCTTTTTTTTTGGCGAAGTAAAAGGAGTATAGTAAAATGTGCATGCGCTCATCGGCAATCTTCTATCAAATGATTGCAGTTTTAAATTGAATATATTTCGTGAATAGTTCGTTTTATTTTAAATGTGCAAACTCTAAGTAAAATAAGAAGGAGAGTAAAATTTCAAGAGTATAAAAAAATAGATGAAATAAAGAGTGACTCGAATAAAACTGTTGACTCGAACAAAATTTACCGGATCGTAAATTTTGGTGTTTTGGTGATATAAAAAGAGTGAGAGAGAAAGAAAAAAGAGAGACAGACATGAATGAGAAAATCTAAAATGTGTAAAATTACGGTTCAGTTTGAGGTGTGATAAATGGCACACACAGATTTACAGTGACAATCTATTTGACCGAAAAATTCTTATTTACAACAATAACAGTCGACTGAATCCAAGTGATAGCACGCACAAGGTGACATTTGTGTGTGATTGCAAATTTGAAACGTAGCGTTTCAATTTGTTTGAGACAAAAAGAGAAAAATAACTTAAGAAGAAAGAAGAAAGAAACAAAGCAAAAAAAAAGAAGAAGAAACATTACAATTTAGATATTAATCGGAAATTTTATTTTAATTTTTTGTGTATACTTTTCTTTGGAAACCATGAATTGGATACATTACTTAGCGGCTTTAGCATTCATAACGAATTGCCTTGTATATCAGGTGAGTAATTGCATTTTATTTAATTAACCACATCCTGTGGTGCATGTGATGAACGGTGCATATGAAAAATGACCAAGTCAACAAGCAAAATATAACCTTTAAAGTTGTTTTATTGTTGGCGCGTTGATCGATTCAAATTTTGTGTGACAGGCCAACGGAATAAGTGCAAATTGTGGCCAATTGTGAACTTGAAAACGCGGAAACAGCGTTCGATAGTTAATTCGATTCAGCTCTGATAATTACAGTGTATGGTGTGCAGAAAGAAGCACACGTCGTCTCATTTTTTTTGTTTAAGACAAGAATTGTTTGTAACACTTCATCTTATGCCAATACGGCCATTTAAAGTGACTAACTTCACATACCTGATCAATTATTATGACCGTGCTTATCGGGATCGCCTATTACTCAAAACCACCGCTGCACTGTGTCCCATTCGAAACATCAACAACCCGAAAATGTGTGCACAAAACGTTGAACTCAATGAAATGAGTACACACACACACCAATGAATAGAGAGAGAAAAAACGCCAAAGTATAGTGTAGTGGCGCTGAGTGCAAGAAACGGACAAACGAATGAACGAAAGAACAAATATTCGCTAAAACGGCAGATGTTTTGTGAACCGAAGCGAGTAATTGACTTTTAAATAATCGGTCTGGACTTGGTTTTACCATTGCAGTTTGCCATTTAATACGAGAATTGTTCGGTGTACACAACACACACACACACAAAATTGTCCACAAAACACAACAGAAATAATAATTAAATTGCTCGTGTATGCGGAAAATTAAGCGCGAGCGGTTTTTTTCTCGATTCTCGCCTTTCTTCCAGTGATTTTTTTTCGGCAAATGCATCGCTGATAAAACAGACCATCGAATTTTTATCATGATTGCATTTTCGGGTAAATGCCGTGCTTGAAATACAACGACGGTATTCTGATTGGTATCAGAACAAAAAAAATTACCATTCATGTTAACATATATGATTCCATTTTCTGCTGATTGAGTTTTTCCATCGAAGTCACAGCAATTTGAACCAAAGAATAAACCAACATGAATAACACATTAAACGGGTATCAATTACGATTATGGTGTGGCCCCCTCATTCAACAATCCAATGTTTGTAATCGAACTGCGAAATTGTTTGTTGTTTATCCCAAGTCAGAAAGTAATTAATATTAAATCGTAATCGGCCAAGAATCACAGCTGTTTTTATGCATCCCTTCATTTTGTTTGCAAAATGCCGGTCATTTTTCATTTGTACTTATGGTCATCACATCAATTGTATCTTTTAATTCAAAGTGCATTCAAATATACACATAAAACGTGAGGGTTGGATTCTGATAACATAATATAAATAATGAGTTGCTATTAATTACACTTCCATCTCCGACACACACACGCATTTACTCCCTGCATGTAAAAATATATCGCATTCGATCAAACGCCGAGTGTGGTTTGGAAAACAGTGATGGGTTCTATAAATATATATATATTTTTTGGAGGAGAAACACTTCAATTTCGTCATACCATCTATGTAACTATTTAATGTCACTTCCATTCAAATAAATAAAAAACAAAAACATTTTAAAATCAAAGTGCTCGAATGCAAACTTGAAAAAAGCCGAGAGAAAAACTTGAAAAAAAGTAACATTTTTTTTTGTTACTTCGTAGCGGAAGACGAAAAAGTGACATGTGGTGAATGGAGAACATTGTGCTCAAAGAATGCATGAGTAACGAAAAAAATTCAATTTTTGACGACTTCTTAAAACATAACGACTTATAGAAAGTGATTTAAGTGCTTTTGTAATTTGGACTACAGTTAGTCGTGTCTTTTTTTCATTTCTGTTTTCCAATCACAATCTCTTTGGCTGTCCCACAAAAAATTCTTCACTCATCAGCTTGTGTAAGCACTATTTGTATTCAGCGAGCGTACAAATGAAGGACAGTTTGATACAAAGTTGCATTTATCCAATTTTAATAGAGCATTCACAATAGCCTATTCGCCCGAAATGAAACCAAATAAATATCAGAATGTCACCGAAAAGGTCATAAATTTGCGTCAATTAAGATTAGCTCTCTCTGAGGCGCATTATGCTTGTTCACTTGATTTGAATCCGTTATTTGGCGACACTGAATTCTTTTTTTTTTTTCTTTGCTAATTTGGCATCTTATTATGGTTTTTTATGTCTGCGAGGCGAATGTTTATACTTTTATGCGTTTCAATTTATGCAAGATTTTTTTTTCTTCTTTTTTCAAACTCAATTTCAATTTGGTATTAATCGTGAGTGCATGAGGTTTTAATGAATCTTCGACATTGTGTAAACAAAGTTTCATACAAAATTTTTACCGCCGAGTCAGTTATCGTATCTGTGTTCGGTTCTTTTTTTTTGTTATTGTGCTTGTTGTTGCTGTATTTCACAGAAATGAGCCATGTGAATTGAATAATTTTTTCTGTGTGCTATTCCATAGGCAATCGTTACCATTCAAATTAAATTCTTTGCGTCTGTTTATATTGAAAGTCTCTCGGCCGGAGTCCAAGTCAGTTGAAGTTAATAGAGTTCTGGCGAAAATAAAATGCATCGTCTTCAATTGCACACTTCGGGGCTCTCTTTGTTTGCTTTTGTCTTTTCATTTCAATGCAATTTCTTTCTTTCGTTTCGAACAAAAAAGTCGAACATGCACATTGCATATCTTTTTTTGGTACGACTGATCTCGGGAAATTCGATTGCCGAGAAGAGAAAGAGAGAAGCTCCAGCAGCAGCAGCAGCAACAACAACAACGTAAATGCACTGAGAATTAAAAGAGAACGAAAGAAAACAAAAATAAAGTTACAAAATGAGAGAAAAGAAGAGAAAAAAAATACACATACACATAAGTACATTTCGATACTAAAAAATATGTCCAAATGAAAATGAATAGCTCAAGTCCAAAAAAATCCAAAGGAAAAAATGTAAAAGAATACACATATATGTGAGAGAGGAGCTTGTAAAAAAGTGCACGTTTAACAAAAAAGCAACAAAGTATCGTCAAAACGACGAAGAATGGAAAAGGAGACGAACAGCAACAACAACAATCAAACCAAAAACGAAACAGCGGCTATAGAACTGCATGCTGATATGAGCAGCTGCTTTCATGTATAAATTCGACTCTCTGCCATGAACGATTGTATTGGTGTCGTTTGATTGTAGTGATGTGTGTGTGTCTGCGTTTGTATATACCTTTCATTACCTCACTGAAGGCATTCGATCCATTGAGTTTTCTCAATAAAAATCGAGTTTTAAATGAGTGTGTGCATCGAGCATTCAACATACGTACTGCAATAGGCGCAAGAAAGTCGTTTACGCACATGTATTTGATATAGGTCTTACGCACACAATCTTACGTCAACTGTTCGACCATGGATGATGCACTGAAATTGAATTGAAAAACAAGAAGAAAGAAAAAAAAAACACACAGTTGCCGAGCTGTAAAAATAACATAGCAAAATATCGTTGATTTTGTGCACGAATAAAATATACTTCAAGATCTACCGAACACAGACAAATACTTTAGGAAAAATAACGTAGAGTATGGTCGACTCTCTGTGCCGCAATAGCATTGCTATGAATCAGTGTATGCGTTTGAATGGTTTTTTTTAATGTCTCTGTTCGACTCTCTCTCTCTTGCTCTCTCTTTCTTTTTCATTCGCTCACATCGAATGTGCGCTCCTACATCGTACGGTCTTCGTTAGAGACGAGTACATGCTAAATTATCTACATGGATTCGATTTGGTTTTATACATATATACTCACCAAGCTGATCTTTTTCAAGTAAAGAGATTGAGAGGCAGAAAAATGAATTGACTATAAAAACGAATTGTTTCCCACGGCATGTGATTTGCCGGTTAGTGTAGGGCTGTGTTATCACAGTCGCTGCTACATCATCGTCGGCTGTGCACAGAAGAGAAGAGATGAGAAAAGACGAGAAATAAAAAAAAAAACATATTTTCGCGAGAAAATAGTTCTCATTCAGATGATTCATATATGTATGCGATTAACGAATTCGTTTACACGGATACGAGAAATCTCGTTCAAAATTCATGTGTGTGGCTTTATAAAATACAAAAACAAAAAAACAATTTACCCTTTTCAATGCATCAAAGAAGTATTTCACAGTAATGTACTGTGTGTCGGTTGAATCTACAAAAAAAATCCAACATTTTTTTTTTCGCCAGCCGATTATTTGAAAAACAAAAAAATAAAAAGTTGAAACAGTTGCGGTTTGCATAGTTTCCGCCAGCACAAAAATCACCAATGTTTTCCCTTTTGAATAAACAGAGAGCAAGAAAGAGTGAGCAAGAGAAGAAATAACCAACAACAACAGCAAAAACGTCGAGAAAAATTTATTGGCCAAATATTTTCGCTGGTTTTATTTGAAACTATGTTTTGTTTTACAATCGGCCCGAATGACTTGGCTCAGTCGGCAAGCAAATAAATCGTTGTGAATGCGGTATGCTTTTTTATTGGTTTCTGAACTTATTGCATTTCTTGGATTACTGTGATGCCTCTGGTTTTGAAGTGAACAAAAAAAAATAATACACTTTTAGCCTTCAATAGTTTTTGGGTTGAAATCGCTGTGGCGTTGGATTAAATGCGCGCATTGACATTATGTCGTATCTCAACATACACATGGAATTTCTTTGCGACTGCTTCATGGTTCAGAAAAATTACGCATTTTCTCTTTCTCTCTCTCCCTCTCTCTCAATTTGAACGGAACGCGCTGCATAATCGTTTTATCACTTGCATATTTGAATGCATTGTTTGGTTAATTTTCAACCCTGTATGAAAAATGCTGAAGACATGTTAGTGCAAAAAATGGAATAAAACCCAATGATCGCGAGTCAGAAAGAAAGAAAAATCATGTTGGAATTCTTTTCGATGAAGAGAAGAAGAAAAAAAAAATACACATAACAGAAACAACACTGCAAAATAAATACACCAACACACGGAGAGGTAGAGAGA